CACAGCAGCAGCAGAGCAGGTCAACCAGCAACGATGTGTAGTCAACACGTTACAAAAAGGCCACCACACAGGGCACGACCCATGGCGGTGTAGTCTTTAGAGAAGAAGTACACAGGATGAATGGCATTGAGCTGGGTGGTGCGTCTGACTTAGCCACCAGCACACGCAACTCGAGCGTCTGTGTAAAGCTGCTTGCTTCCACACCCCGCGCCTGGAACATCGGCTCATCACTCTTGAGCCGAATCGACTGTTGTTGCTTCCTACAAGGCGCGGATGAGACAGCCATCTCGAGTAGTGCCGCCTCTGCAAAATACCAGGTGCGCCGCATGATGAGCACCTCGCGACCTCATCTACGGCACCAGACGTGGGCACGACGTGCCGTGTTCAAGGATGCATGGGAAAACTAGAGCTCCGGGCACCTTGGGTCTGTTGCGGGCGTGCGGGTGCATCATGCCCGAGAAGTTTAGCCCGCAGATATAGGGCAACGTCCAACATCTCGTCGCGCATACCTGACCTCTCGTGAGTGCCTAGTCGTGGCTCGTGTGAAGATGTTCTACTGTACCTCCCTGCGCCCTCAGTGTCGCATGTTGCGACGACCCGAACTCTCGAGCCCGCGTCAGTGTCTAGCAAGACGATGATCTACCTTACTCGGAATGCGAGGACAGTGCATACTGCCTACGATCAACTCGCAACACTTGGCTGGTGTGACGGGCTCGGGGCATACCAGCACCAGGGTAAGGTGAGGCAAGCGGTGTGCCTGATCGCCGCTTCTCCACCTGTCACAGCAGCATACCCGCCCACGCCGTTCGCGACTAGGGGCGCAACAACGCTGAACTTTCCTACAGGCGACCACGCGATTAGGCTGCACGACGTCCTCGGCATGGCACAGCACAGCAGTCGAAATTATGTTGCCAGATTGGCGACAAGTATGTGAGGGATTACCCAGGCCCGCCCACGCCCGTGGGCGCCAACGAAGCGAGCCAGCAAGCGCCGTCAAAGTGATGGATCTTGGCTTTCGAACGAGGGGCGGGGGGACGGACGAGCGAGATGAGTATGTTTGAGCGGAGTGGGCTTGCTTTGACCCTGAGGCCGCAGAAAGCTATTTTGGGATTCGATGACCCTCGAATGGTTTTGGGGACGCCGGGAGATGGTTCAGAGACATGAGGATCAAGCCGCATCTCGTCGTTCGGGACCAAGCTCCTTCTCGGCTTTCTTCATTTACTTCCTTTCTTCGATTCGCTCCGAGAGTCTTTCCAAGAAAAGAATCTTTCCGAACTCTTCAGCGCGGGCGGCAACTGCCCCCTTCGCACTCGCAATTCATCCCGACCCGGCTCCATACTTGCAGGCGATTGCGCATTTGACCGTCTCGGTAGTCATGACACATTGAGGTAGGCGCACAGGGCCTGATGAGGACCTCGTCGTGTCACCACTTGTATTCCAAGACCCAGCAAAGCCTCCGAGGACCCATTTGATCCATCCTACCCAGGCCATTCTTGTTGGTTCTCACGAGTCCTGCCCCGGTCGCTCCGAGTATCGATGACGTCTACTACATGTTGCGGCGCTGTCGGTGTTGCAGCAACACCGACACCGAAGACGACTCCAAAATCACCCGCACCCCGCGGTCAATCGATAAGAGCTCCAAACAGCTCCCGCGACACAAACTCCAACTCTTCTCCTTACGATCACGAGCCAGTCAGCCACAACGCGAATCTGCAACACCGTTGGGCGGCGGCAACACACTGCAACGTCACTGTCAGCCGATACCCATCTGCGTG